GGTGAGGAATTAACTGGACCATGCACGAAGGTCTTGGTTTCTAGATACTGTTGATTCGATGATTCCATACAGATTATGCCCCTTCAGGAGCTAAGTCTCTTAATTTTCTCATCTCCATTCCTCCAAATCTTGGCATACTTCTAGAAGTTCTATTTTTCTAAGACCCTTCTGGGCAGGCACCTTTAGCTGATGCTCTCTCCAGAGTACTTTTGGGCGCAGAGCAAGCGGGGACAGGGAAGAGAATAAGGAATTTACACAGGGAATCTGCCCTTCGGTGGGTTCACAGAAATCACCCGCGCGTCCCTATCAGCATCGTCTTCAGAAGTTAATGTGAGAGGAACATGTATCACACCCCGAACCCCAGATAGCTTTTTTGAAAGGAGGCCAAGAACATCAGTACCCAAATCCCACTTGGGCCCTGCCATCCTCCCTAGAACATAGATAATTTTTTTTTAAATAAAAACAATAGCATCCTCTCTTCCTAAATATCAGCCCATTGATAACCAGAATGGGTTTTCCACATGTTAATAACCATCATCACGACCTAATTTTTAACATATAGTTTACATTATATACAATTGTATTTGGATAACACACTTGACGTGTGAGTGGTAGAAATCAAGCATGTATAGAGTATATGTACATGTGTACAAGAGCATTGGTATTGGCAGGAGGAGTGTCTTTGCTCTCCTCCGATGTGTATCAGGTGGCCAACTGCCCTCATCTGCTATGATTTGATGTGAACACAGTACGATGTGAAGGGGTGAAGTGGAAAAGCACACCTGCGTGTTGGTGTAGACCCCACTGAACCTCTCACCCAGCGCTTCCGACCCTGCCGACCAAAAGAATGTGGGGCATCCGTAAGGTCTAATTTTGTCTCAAGTGAAAATACTGCTTTTGCGCTGAAAACCACTGTCACGTGGAATCCTTAACTCATATTAAACACCAACCAATGAGTTGTGTTTCCACGGACTCGGTGCCCCCCGGCCCACCATTGAACTCCAATTCCGTCCACTCCAGCCACGGTTCATACAGGTGGGCTCTGCTTCAGAAACAACTCCTGTCCCCTTTGCAAGGATTCACGTGTGACATCTATGCACAAGCAGACAGGATGGGGATGCACCTGGAGTTAACACATCTGTTCAGCTCTTCTGAGAGATACTTAGGTTTCTCCAGTTCGTGTTTATTTAGGTCTTACACCGTATGGGATTTCAGTGCAATGTATTTATTTATATGACAACTGATTATTAGAGCTGCACTTTTTAGGTTTAAAGGAGATAAATTTTTAATCACCATTTAATTAACACCAACTCCCCCCCTTTTACATTAGCATTTGCAAAGAATTCAGGGCATTTGTCATTTCCTGAGAAGGACGCAGAATATTAAATACACATCAGTGGCAGGCATATCAAATAGAATAAACAATGTGGGGCTATATGGCTGCTATGGATCTTTTGGCTAATTAACTGCCTTGGCCAGAGTCCCATGTAAGTGAAACTATTTCGTTTGTAAACAAGGTGTAATTTTCCTGTTTCTCCCTTGAAAATAAGTGTGAGTCAATGTGACTGATTTTGCTGCAGTGGGGGCCTTTTAATGGTCTCCTCAGAGCAGCTGAGTATGAAAAGTTCTCAGGCTCTCTGTGACAGAGGAGAGAAACCAGGTATAATCCCCAAGACCCCGGTCACGGTGCTGGCTGCCATTACGGAGTGGAATTGCAAAGGACGGGAGAGTGGGGAGATTATCATAATCCTGTACCTCGCGCGGGAGCCGTGCTGGCAGAAAAACAGACCCGTTAGGGAGCTGTCTTCTGGGAGCACTGAAGCCAGAAGTAGTCTGAGACCTACAGGTAGAAGGACCAGGTAGACTATGTTCTAGGAACTCCAAGGGCTCCAGGGTAGAATTCATGCCCCAGAAGACTCTCTTCTTACCCAGACTATTTTAAGTTGGGCATGTGTGTACCGTTACTCATCAACAGAAACGTGAGCACCTGCATTTAGGCATACCTGTTGGGCCCTTCTCAAGGGGAGAAGGCCACTTAGAGTCATTGCGGTACGGTTATGGATGCCGGCTTTGGCTTGAGTCAGGTGAAACTCGGGCACGATTCGGGGGCTCAGGCATGCCGGCTCTTTGGCATCAACAGCTCCCAGATCTCAGGCTGGGATGTCACAGGAACCCTCTGTAAGGGGTCCAGAGTTGGAGGGCTTTCTATTTATGTCTTTGACTTTCTGCTTCCAAAGAACAGAACTGACTTAAATCACCTTCAAATAGTTCTGTGTCATTATCTTTCACTTGGCAGATGGCCTGTCTGATCAGCGGTCAGTTTTCTTATGCTTGGGATCATCATAATTAAGAGTCGATGAATTTGTGGAGGAGGAAAATTATGTATTCATTATAGATAGCATTCCAATGCTCAGTGTTTCTTTTTAAAAATGTGTTGGGTATTAAAGGAAGCACGGTACTGATGGTTCTTCCAAAAGCCCCATTTTTAGTTTTTGTTTTTGTTTTTGTTTTTTTTTTTAATCTAAAGAAGCATAGGGTTAACAGCAGAAATAATGCTGTTGTTAGAAGAAGGGTTTTTGATCTATGGAACAGTTCTGAGTGTAATTCGCGTTCTCCCTGGAGGTCTCTGTCACTTTTTGCAGCCCCCCCCCCCCCACCGTGGGGTTTTGAGGACACAGGAGGAAGACAGAAAGCCTCTTTGGATTAATGACATACCACAGCTCTGTGTGCTGGGGACACTTTTTAATTCATTTCATGTCATGACACGCCAGTCTTGTGGGGGAAATGAGGTGATCCTGGCTGGGGGAATGTGGGTCTGGAAAGCAATGGGAGGGCAAAGGCAGAAAGTTCTAAAAGACAAGACAGCCAGGAGTGTGCCTAAGAGTAGGAATGGAGGTGAGGCCCTTCAGTCTGGGCTTCTCCATTCTTGGGCCTTGGGGCAGCAGAAGCAACATCCGAGAAAGAAAATGCAATGTTCAGGTACATTTGTCAGCAGTGCCTAGCCCTCCCCTTCTGACGGGAAGACCTACTTGCCCATGGCCACCTCTGCCTCCCCACCGATGATCCCGAAACTTATTGTAACCACTTATCATTACTGGATGCACCTGCCCAAAGATGGAGCCATTCACTGAATCCTCAAGCTCTAAGAGAATTATTCCTGGCACCTGCCCACTTGCAGGAAAACACTACCTACAGAACAGAACGCACTGCAAGTAAAAGAAACAGGGTGACTTTTCAGCTTGCCACTCTGTGCCCTTCTCCAAGAACCCAAAGCAAAATGCAGGAGGAAACCAGGAGAAGGGCAGGCTAGTTTGCTTAGGCTGTCTGCAGCGTGTCTCCAGACTCAGTGGCTACAGGACCGGATGGCTAGTTACCCTAGCTATTTCGGGGACATTCGTAAAGTTAAAATACACTAAAAAGGTTTAATATTGTCTGTGGGTTTTATAATATTTAATTTTTAAACTACAGAATTCTGGTCTGTTATCACATAACAACTACCTTTGTGTCCTCAGCACGCTCTCGGCGTCAGGCCATGCTGCAGACTTCCCTTCCTCCCCCAGTGTTTTTAAATGAGTCTCATTCCAGGTCACATAGGCACAGGTCTGAGTAAAGTAAGAATGAGACGGGGGGGGGGGTGACTTGGAAATGACAAATGCTTTGGAGAATTTTTCATAGATTCCCGTTGGTGCTAGTGAAGCGGTTTTGACTCCAAAAGAGCGAAAATTTCAGAAGAGAGAAATCACTTTTGCCACTAAAGGTGACCCACAATTTGGAGGATGCTCAGGATGGATGAGTGTCTCTCATGTTTTGAAGGCTTTTGATCTGAGGAGGTTGGGGTGGAAACGAGCATCCAACTGAATTTCATGACGTGAAGGAAGAGAAATGCAACAGGTAGGGCTAGGCTTCAGCAGATGGCTGGCATTGAACTTCTTACAGATCACAGGACACATTTGGCTGCTGGTGGGTGCCACCACGTTAACAGCTCTGGGAATAGCAACACGTAACACGTAATTAGACGCCGCCCTGGCCTTTCGGGGACAGAACGAGTTATGGTCAGTCTGGGAGGGAAGAAGGGGTAACAGATACTATACAACCCTGAGTCGTCACCAGAAGGGGGGGAGACGCAAACTTACGTACACAGGAGTCTTCAGGATAAACTACAACAGCCGCTGTGTCAGAGACAGGAGATCCACCAGTTAGGTATCGGAGACATGGGTGTGTTTGTGCAGCTCTGAACAAGACCATCGAAGCCAAGGGTGAGAGTGTTCTGTGAGACGCACAAGCTGACATCCAAAGAGATGTTCGGAGCTCTCCGCCTGAGGGTCCTTCTGGCCCCTTACTCCAGATGTGTCTTGGAAATGGACTCTAATGAAGGTAGCATAGTGACTGTGAACACACGGATTTGCTATTCTTTGGGGGGGAGCCTGGAGTTCTGTGGTTGGGCCTGGGCAGTGATGGGAGGCATAACATGAAGGCTGAAAATGGGTACAAGGCCAAACTTCCTAATCTCTTGCACGTCAATCTCGCTACGGTGCAGACGCATTCCTAACTGTTTTGTCTGAGTCAGGGGTACATGCATACCATATTGCTTATTTGGAATGAGAGAGACCACTAGGCATTTCTGATGAGGGGAGCACATGGTGGACCGGTCTTAATGGAATTTGGAATATAGGAAATCATAGCATCACCATCAGCATCCAACACATTCTTATTGCCAACATACCTAGTGGGCATGTCCAGGAGACATGCCCTTGTGTGTGTGTGTGTTTTTGGTTGAGGACTCACCTATCTGGTATCTGCCATGCTCAGCACGCACCTCACAAGATTCCTTGAGTGGAAGACTATGGCATGGAGCCATGTGCAAAAGAACCAACAAAAAAAAAATACCTTCCTAAATCCTCTTCCTCTTGGCAGGGCACCATCGGACATCCGACATTTACCCTCCAGCACATCGGCCAGTTACGTATGTTTCCCTATAGATAAAACATTGATGGAAGGTTTTAAACATCAGATTCAATACTAGGCATTTTCTTGTACACACGTCTATTGCTGCAGGAATTCAAAACCCTGGGGGTAGAGTACATACTGTTCTTATTTGCAGCATAAGGCATAACATGCTCCGAAATGTACACGTCGTTGTGGCCTCGACTGTCCCTGGAGCAGTACGATGCTGTTGACCTCAAGGACGATCGAAGGTAGCTGTCGTTCACGGCCTGGGACGGCAGCGAGTGTTTGTAAGGGTCCGAGGGGCATCTCCCGATGACTAAGCGTCGGTCGTCCCCATAGCAACGGAGGAAAGGGTTATCGGAGGTGTGGTCCGGCAAGAGGGACTTGCTCCGCTTGCTGTCCTCCAGACCCTGGGGGAAGAGGGCGCTCTTGTTCCCCGAGAGTTTGCTGGAGGGGACGCTAAAGAGACTCCCATACAAATTTCCCTCCAGAAGCCGTTCCCGGTCCTTGAGGCTGATGCTCCTGGAGGGCCTGCTGAGGTCGGTCTCCCTGGGCTTGTCGACAATGTTATCGTAGGAGTGCTGACGGCTGATCCTGAGCTTGTTCTTCTGGAACTGGAGGGTGCTGTTCTGTGCCCAGTCCTGCTGGTAGACCTCCTCCTGGGCGGCCGGGCTCCCCGTCTCCTGGAGCATCTGGTCTTCGTCGATGTCGTAGAGGTTGCCCATCCGCAGGCAGGCATCGCACTTGAACGGGGACCGCACGGTGAAGTGGCCCGAATAGGTGGGCAGGTTGGACAGGCAGCTCCGGCAGTGCGTCGAGTTCTGCCGGTACCGGTCACTGCCCTCGCTGTGAGGGGAGCTCTTGTCTTTCAGGGTGAAGTGCTTGGAGTAGAATTTATGTTTGTCATTGTTGGGGAGCGCATCCTCATTGTGCAGGGGGTTCCTGTTCGTGGGCAGCGCGGGGTCCCCCTTGCGGAAGTTTTCGCTGGGGTCCTGGTAGGTGTCTGGGAAGTCCACGTTCTCGGGCAAGGCCATGTTTTCAACAAACTGGGGTGGGTCCAGGTGGAAACTAGGTTCCTTCTCGCCATCGATGGTGTAGATCTTGTCCCTGGGGGAGCTCGCTTTGGTTTTCAGATAGGAGCGCTCGACCTCGCTGCAGTCCTTGGGGTATTTGGAGGCCACGGACCTTTTGAAGTTGTCCTTGGTCTTGTGGTTCTTACTGTTGTCAGGCTCTCTGTGGCACGTGGCCCGGCTTGAAGTTTCTGAGATGTCCGAGTGGGCCACCTCTTCCGGAAGGTACCGGGGACTCTTGAGGGAGTGGGTCCTATTTTCCACTGCTCCCTCGTCCCTCTGGGACACTGGGTTCTGGCTCAGGGAATCTTGGCGCAGTGATTCCATGGATTTCTTCCAAAGCTGCCGGGGCCTGGAGTTCGCTTTGGACTCTGTGCTCACGGCCACCTCCACCGTGTTGGGGTTAGACTCATTGAGAGTAAGGGGGTGCTGTCCCTGGAACACGTAGTTATTGAGGTTGTCCTTGTGTCTGTTGGCCACGAACGTCTGCAGCTCATTCATGTTGTCCCCAAAAATGTTGTCTTTCCCCTGAAAGGATCTGTTGTCTGAATAGACCAAATTTCCCTTATCGGAAACCATGTCCATGATGAGGGAACCTCTTTGGATGAAGTCAGCAGCCCTTTTGGGGGAATCCATTCTTGAGGAGTTCACGTTGGACATGTCGGAGATGTTTTTGGCTGACCGGAGGAGTTTTAACATGTTGCTCTGGGATCCGGTCAGGTTGAAGTCTGGAGACTTCTTCTTCTCCTCGATGTGCACTCCATGGATGCAGCTGTAAATGCCCTGTGGGAAGGAACACGAGGCACGGTCAGTAGCAGCAGGAACACGAAACTACTGCACACCTGGCCTTCACCTGCAAAGGCGGGATGTGTCCTTCTTGGAGGAGCCTTGGAGGGGATCTTGAAGTCCAATCTGAATCCCGGGAATGTTTCTTAAATCTGTGAGACCAGTAAGCGCCCAGCTTCTCTCGTCTCTCTGGCTTTAAGATTATCCCAACACTTTAGTGAACAGTTTGAGAAAAGGCATCGACTAATGCTCATGTATCTTATAAAGTTCTCGGTGCCTCCAAATTGGCACGGAAGGATATTGAATTGATACCTGGGGCGCTAGCTCATCTTTTGCTAGTGTCCCAGGATCATCTTTGGAGTCCGGATACCAGAGTGAGAAAACCCTTTCCGGTTACTCTAAGGCTGGGCATAAAAATCCATGGGTGATCACTCAGATATTTTGGGGAAGGAAAGATAGAGAAGCTGGGCTAGAAGGAGCAGTTGCAGGGGGACTAGTCTTGCCACCATGTGGGGATGTTAGCCTGAGAGTGAGACCATCATAGAAAAGAGCAGAGCACAGGGAATGGAGAGACAGGACACGCTTTGAGCCCCTGGGGCCACCACTTGAGACTTTTCATAGATGCCACTGAATATGTCCTTTTGTGTGCATGTGAGTGAGTGTGTCTGACACAGAGTTGGGTGCTAGCCATTAGGAACAGTGGAGAATCTCAAGGACACTGTGACGCAGCACTGAAATTCACCCAAGGACAGAGTGACTTTGGGACTTCTGGGTGGCTCAGACATAAGCACCCCCAACTGTGGGTCCCTTGTTTTCCACGCTGCCTTGTTCCTTTCTTAAAAACAGCTGTTTACTTTTACTTCAAAGTAACTCAAGAGCTCTTACTTCATGGTGCAATGGTACGCAAGGCGGCTTTGGGGGGAACATTGTGATTTGCGTCCCCCTCTCCCCACTGCTGGCCCCAGATTTTGGCAGCCGTACCTAAAGGGGATGATCAGAACAAGCCCTCCCAGGACGGACAGGGGGCCAGCCCAAGAAGGGGTCTGTAAGGCAAACCTGGAGGCTGCTGCTGACCGGAGTGTGAACTGGTGGAAAGGGTGTGCGGTTAGCTGTGGACTCTGCTGACCATGGCCCCGCCGGCCCGCCCCCCACCCCTGCATTTTTCTAGAGAGTCTGCACTCCACCTTCCAGGAACGGTACATGGGGAAGACACAGTAGTGAGTCTGAGCATCTCTTTCTCTCCCCCTCTCCCCCCCACCCCGGGTTGCATGGCTCGGGCTCCCCAAAACCTGGCATCGTGCCCTTTCCCACCTTCCTGCAGCCGGTCTTCTGTCCCCTCTGTGCGGTGTGTGGGTCCTGCTCACCCGCTGCCCGGAAGGAGGGTCCCCTCTGCCCGCTTCCACGGCTGCTGGGCATGGCAATCACACCAATGCGCCGTGGGTTTCACATAGCACAGAGCTTCTGGACCTTGTCTGTGAACGCGTGCCTTCCCCGCCCAGCTCAGGAAACAGAGCAGTCCTACACTCTGACCTAGGGAGGCTCGGCCACTGTGGGTGAGAGAACCAGTGTGTCTCCTGTGGGTCTGGGTCAGACGAGATCTGCGCCTTTTCTTCCTTTGGTTAGTATTATAAAAATAGGAGTTTAAATTTTTTTTTTCTGAATCTGTAATTTCGTTCTAATGAGCTCCCATCACCCTGCTAGAGCTTTTGAAAACCTCCCTCCACCCCTTCACAGGGCAGGTCAGTATGCTTCCATGGGCCGAGATAAGCTGGCTGTCCATGTGGGGGAGGACCACAGAAGTGGTCAGGGAGCTGAGTTATGTCTCAGGAATGGGGGGGGCTGGTCACTGACTGCTTCCTCTCATCCCTGCTTCCCCTGGGACTCACAGGCTGCAGCTCAGGCAGCTCCCAGGTGCTGATGTGCCTGGTGAAGCCTCGGGAAGGAGTCCACGTGATGGACCCAGCCCGTTCCCCCAGGCCTGGGCGGCAGCATTCTCCCACAGAGTTAACACATCTTCTTGATGGGCTGCCGAGAAGAGGGGTGCATGGCAGAGAAACGCGGAACCCGCGGGAAGTGAGTCCCATCTCCATCTGTCATTAGCTCTGTGACCTTGGATTAGCCGCTAAGCTTTCTGAGCCTTGGTTTCCACACCTGCAAAGTGGGAACCACACACTCTCAAGGTGGGTAGAGGGCAGGATAAAAGGGTGCAAACAAAGCCCCAGATAGAGCAGAGGCTCCAGAAACAATGAGCCGGATGAGCTGTGCTGCCGGTCATCCCCAATGTGCCCTACTTTGCTGCCCTCCCCTCCCCACACACACACTAGCACGAGCACCTGGCACCCACGGTTCCAAAGCTGCAGGAAAGTGCAGGCTGCCCCTTACTACTGAAGGTTCACTCTGGTTAGGGAGCAGCCCAGACCTTCCCTCGGCTGCGGGCCCTGGGCCGCAGAGCTCTTGCTCATTTCTCGTCTTGTTACTTGGAGATTCAGGCTCCATCCTTCAGGTGATGGGAACGAGATGCCTTCTCGGCCCCACCGGGGCCCAGATGAGAGCCTCACTGAAGAGAGAGTGTAAAGCTCTGGACAGTCCGCTCTGCTCCCCTCGAGGGCCCTGACTCTCAGAACATTCTCGATGGGGCATGGGCTCTTCTGCCCTCCATGGTTCCCTGCAGTCTGTCTGGACCTGACCCCTGGAGCATCTGCTAAGGCCTAAACGTTTGTATCCTCCCCCAAAGTCACATTGAGATCCTAACCCTAAAAGTTGGTGGTGTGAGGAGGTGGGGCCTTGGGGAGGGAATGAGGTCCTGAGGGTGGGGTGCTCGTGAGTGGGATTAGTGCCCTTAGATGAGAAACCCCACAGAGCCCCCTCGCCCCCTTCCTTGTGTCATAAGGACACAAGGAGAAGTCTGTGGCCCAGAGGAGGACCCTCACCTGACCATGCTGATACCCTGATTTCAGACCCCAGCCTCCAGAACTCTGAGAAACAAATGTCTGCTGTTTATAAGCCACCTGGACTGTGCTATTTGGTCATAGTGGCCTTAATGGACTGAGGCGGTGTCTGACTTCTGCTCTCTTGGTCCCAGTGGTGGGTGAGCCCAGTCTCCCCTCATATGACCCCACCGGGCAGGTCACACAGTTGCCATCCCCCTGACATCTGCCTCTCGTGGCACATATGCATGAATGTGCCCATAAGACACATTCTCTGCCCAGACCCCCTGACCTCTCTCATTCCTCATGACTGAAAGCCGAGGCAGTTCTTTTTGCTGGTGACAGTGAATATTCTCTTCTACGTGAGAGGGGGAGCATTTTGGAGAGAAAAATTAAGAGCCCCCCTCAGACCAGAGAGCATATTTTTTTTTTTAAGTCTAAAAAGGCAAAGGCCAAGGCTGTGGGAGAAAGTGGGTTCTAATGACTTCTTCGAGCCCGGCCGTCCCCTTTGGCAGGGCCAAGAGCACCCATAGGTCTGGTCTGTATTTTGTTGCATGATCCAGAAGCTTCCCAAGGGACATCTAGCCCATGGGGAGGGCTGCATATGTCTGCTGTGTGGCAATAGCTAGGTCCACGGGCTGGGTGTTGAAGCTGCTGCAAGAGCTGGTTAATGGAGAGACCTGGCTGATGGGCAGGAAAGAACGTGCCTCGGGGGCAAGCACATTTCAGAGGCAGCCTGGATCTACATCCCCTGGAAAGGAACCAACACTCGGAAATGGGCTGAAGCATGTGACCCAGCCCTGCACATGTGACAGGCTTCCTCTTTCCTGCCTTTTTCTGGCATGATCCATGAAGTAGGAAGAACCCTGTAGTTTGAAGGACATTTAAGGTGAAGCCAAAAGGGTCCCATTCCAACCATTGGGGCCCCGGTTTCTCCGTATCCACAGGACGGGTGTGATCATAGCAAACTCACAGGGGTTGTAACAGAGGATGGAGGAAACCTATCTGGTCCAGCCCTTATTCACACATGACCATAATTCACTATGGGGTTGTGGTCTTGCCTTTGTAGGAAGGTGGGTTCTTGGGCTTGGAAATTCCCCACTGCAGGTTTGTTAAAAAAATGATTATGTGTGCACAACGAAGACATTTTTGTCTCTCTCTGTTCTCTGCTCTGTGTAAGGAATATACACGTAAGGTGGCATATGCATGACTGTGCCCATAAGACAAGCTTTAGAGCTATGTGTTAGCCCTTGATGAGAAAGGGAGAACAATTTTTTTTAGCAATCTGGAAGCCCCGCTATGGATAGCATCAGGGGCTGAGCCCATTCTGAGTTCCCCTAACAAACAAGAGAGGCAGGAAAGTATATTAAATATGAAACCCTTCTATTCATGCATACCGGGCTGCACTTATTTTAAAAGACAGATATTATCTCAGGAGAAGGAGGGTCAGTGCTGAGGTATGGCTCCCTGCAGCGTTTAAGGACACAGGAGTGATGGTGGCTGGGAGTCCCCACAGGGGCACGGAAGTCCTTGCAGTGCTATGAGACACAGGGTCCTCTCTTCCCTAGGGAGGGGAGACTGAGTTCAGATTCCAGGATGCCTGGCTCCTGTGTGCCCCATCCCCCTCCAATCCTGTCCCTCAAGATGCTTGGAAGGGGAATGGGGGATTTAGTTCATTTCTCATAATGACAATCCTTTCCACTTGGCTTCCCTGATGGTATCTCAGACAGAGGAAATGCTCTTCCCGATACAAGCAGGATTTATAAGGAAAAGCAACAGCGTGCATTTGCTCATGATAATCCCAGAGTCATTTGGATATGGAAAGCCTTCAGTAACTGGTGGAGAGAATTAGCTTAAAGTTGGCATAATACCTAGCTATTTGCATCACTATGTTATTTTTAAGCAATCTGTGTGTTTAGATGCCATCAAGTTAATTAGGAAATATGTATTTGCACAGAATGCAAGTTAAGAGTGCCACTGAACAGAAAAAATAAATCCTCCCCACTAAGCTAATGTGTGCCTTCTGAATCTCCAAAGTGCTTAAAATCACCAAATGCTAAGAATATACAAATTCCTTTAAAAATGATTATTTTGTTTTCCCAATAACCATTAGCATATAAAACCACACCGAATGTTTTTCATTAAATTCTTCTAGAGTGAAAACATTCCATGGTGAGTAAATGGGAGAAATAGGTAGATAAATAGATGGACAGATGGATGAATGGATGGAAGGATGGATGGGTGGGTGGGTGGGATGGGTGGAGGGATGGATGGACAGAAAGATGACTGCGAGATAAATACTGTTACATTCTGTTAGAAGATGAGTGAATATATATGTATGATGCAACTCAGTGACAAGATTGTATTGAATATGTAAACATCCATTTTGTCAGTTGTGTGCACATATGTGTTGTGTAGTATGATTTGTATCAAATCTCTTGTGTGCCTTGTATTGGATGTTTGTTGCTTATGTAAGATCACGTGCTCTGGCTGGTACCACACCACCCGGATGCGAGTCCCGGCTGCACCGAACACTGTGCAGCCTGGGGTAATTCTCTACCGTCATGACTTTGAGTTTCCCCATCTGTAATCTGGGGCTAATAATGGTTACCCACCTCACAGACATGGTTTGTAGCTTAAATGGGATGAAGAGTCTACAGTCCTTACAGGGTGCCTGGCACATATAGGTGCTCCACAAATACAAGCGTTTTCCGTGATTGTTGTCATTACCGATGAATTTTATGTCCTGTTTTATGGTGACATACACATGCTGTATTGTGCACCAGGAGAGGGGTTTCCTTGTATAGTGTGTGAGCTCACTAGAGCACGTGTGTTCCATGCTGTACTTTATGCTGGGATGAATGTGTACTTTGGTTTTCTATTTGATGTGTGAGCATCTTCTCATGATTCTTCATGTCTTTGTGTCATCTGAGGCTCTGTCGCATTGCACACGCTCATAAACTGTAACGTCCTGTGCAGGGATTTTAGTGGTGTTGTAGAGCATGTCTGGCTGCTAATGGTGGACGCCACAGACTGCTGCATTTGGCTTACATGGTATTTTTTTTTTTTAAATTGAATTTGTCACTAGTATTTAAAAACTGAAAGGTTTCACATAAAATCAGATGACTACTTTCTCTTTTAAAAACTAAAAGAGCCGACAGTATTGCCCTTGTGTTCTCAAAAGCTAATACTCCGTCGGACTTGAGGAGGACTGACCCCTTCAGGTGGGGTAGGCATTCTCCAGTGCTCCCTCACCTTGACACCCAGGGGGCGTTCGCTGTGTTTCATCTCATTTGTGGCTATTGTTTCCATCCCCAGCCTGCTTTACCCCCATCCCCCCTTCCCTCTCTGGCCTGCACAGTCATCTGGGATTGCTACTGGCTGGGTTATGAAGGCGCAGAACCTCGATTCCTTTCCGACAAGCCCAAGAAGGGTTGGTGAGTGAGGGGAGGATGTGCACACTGCCCCCCACCCAGGAGTCAAGCATCCCAGATTCTCTGGAAGCCCCGAGGTCTTCTGGACCTGCCCTCTGCATTAAGGTCATAGCCGGCGGCGGTACTGACCCTGCTGATGGAGAAGAGCAGCCCCGGCCGGTCGGAGCACACGCCGGTGAAGCAGAAGCGCAGCTTCCAGTAGAAGAGGTGCTCCCAGATGAAGGTGATGAGGCTGAGGGCCATGGCGGCCGCCAGCATGTAGAACACGCCGGCCATGTTGTCGATGTCCAGCTGACTGCTCATCACCTCGTTCTTCTCGTTGTGGCAGATCCCTGTGAGCCACAGTGTCTCCAGCTCCTCCATCTCGCCTGGACAGGAGACAAGAGCCGCAGGCTGTGAGGAGCAGGGCATGCACTCTGGGTCGGGGGCAGACACAGCGGACTTAGAGCTGGGGGACCAGCAGGAGCCTTACTGAGCGCTCCAGGTCTGCGCATGCTCACTTGCGCGGTGAAGCTCAAATGGTAACGGGACCTACCTGATTCTGTCGTCGGGAGGATGAAACAAGATAACGTGTAGTCAGGTGCAGTCCCTGGGTGTGTGTATGTGTGTGTGTTTGTGTTTTTAATCATTGTCATTATGTTCTACCCATCCCCCTTTTCTCTGCCCACGTCCCCGACACCCACTCAAGCCTGGAACAGGACCGGGCATAAACTGGCACCTTGCTACCACGGAAAGTCTCGCATTCCAGTTAAGACTTAATCACTTACTAGCTGGGTGAGTGCAGAGCCACAGCCCTCGCGTCTGTGAAATACACAGAACAACAATGCACCCTTCCTGGAGTTCTCATGAGGACCAAATGAACTCACATCTGCAAACGTCCTAAGTGCAGGGCCCGGCTCATAGCAAGTTTTCATAAATAGTAGCGTTCACAGGATTGTTGTGAAGGAAATGCCGGGCACAGTGCACAGCGCACGGCAGTCCTCAAATATGTTGGTTTCTTCCTGCATCTTCCTTTAGAACATCTGGGATTGTTCCAAGATGCCACCCACTAGTGGGGCACTGAGGGCAGAAGGCACTGAAGAGAGACATCCCAATCAGCTCTGAATGGCCCCTTGCAAACCAAACACCTCCCCACTTCAGTAGGCAGTTAAAGAAGCAGGTGGAGTTTAGAGTGGGAAAGAAAAAGTAGGCGTGCTTAGCATTATTTTGTCTTTCTAGTATGTGCATTTCATCCAGTTGCCATTTAGGAGGAAATTCTCTGATCTAAATGTCTAGCAATTCACTAAACTATGGCACTTACACTATGATTGAAACTTTAAAAATTCTCCTTCAAGGACAGTGAAAATCAAACAGGACGCATATAATGTTAAACGAAAAGTATGACTATGTTGTGTGTGCGTATCTGATCTAAGATACAATATGAAACATTAGTAGAGAAAAGTAAAAGGAAACACTCCAAGTGTTTCTTTGATTCTCTTTTGAAGAGTTTAGCATAATTACCGCTTTCATACTGCTGTCTTTTTTTCAGTTTCGTGAAATTAGCGTGTGATGTTCTTGGTTGGTTTGCTCTCTTGAATGATTTGGCTGAACAGAGAAATCTAAGTTGATCCTTGTTTTCCCTGGGCCTTTTGAAGATGTTACTGAGTTTCTTCTGATCTAGATTACAGTTGTTGAGAAGTTGGCTAATAATCTAATTGTCACTACTCCCTATGCATTCTGTGTTTTTTCTCTGATGGCTCTTTAGATTTTCATTTTGTCTTTGGTGTGGAATGTAGGTGTGGACTTGCTTTATTACTTGTTCGGCTCTAGACTCAGTGTCATTCTTCGATGTGTGACTCAGGATTTTAATTCTGGGAAAACATTTCACCCATTCTTGCTTTGAGTATCAACTCTCCCTATCCCCTTTTAAGAAAAAAAAATTAGTAAACTTTATTTTTTTAGAGTAGTTTTAGGGTTTCAGAAACATCGAGTAGAAAGTACAGAGTTCCCATAACTCCTCCCCATTCGCTCAGTTTCTCCTATTAACATCTGGCATTGGGGTGGTTTTTTGTTTTATTTTTTTGTTTGTTTGTTTGTTTGTTTGTTTTTTACAATTCATGAACTGATCTTGATACTAAAGCCCAGAGTTTACATTAGGTTCACGCTTTATGTTGTACCATTCTGTGGATTTTGCCCAAGGCTTAATGCCATGTGTCCATCATTACAGTATCATACAGAACAGTCTTGCTGCCTTGAAAGTCCCCCATGCGTGCTCCCTGATTCAATTCTCTTCACGCCCCATCCCAACCCCTGGCAACCACTGATCTTTTGATGGTTTCTCTAGTTTTGCCCTTTCCAGAACATCACATAACTGGAACCAAAGTGCACATAGTAGTCTTTTCAGACTGGTTTCTTTCATAGTAACAAGATTTTTATTTTTTAAGGTGATGATTTTTTAAATCGTCTGATTTGTAAAAAGATGACACAAAATTTAAAATGATACAAAATATCAATTTCAAAACAGCATCAGAAAGTGCACGTACTTAACCGTACTCAGCTCATAACAGAGCAAGTGGATAAGCAGAATAATTCGTACTGTAGCATTTTGCTATATGAACTGGTCGCAGAAAGAGCTGACAAAGGAAGGCGGAGGTGCTCTGTCTTTGAAGAATTAGAACCGAGGGGTTCCAGAATCATCTGGCATCCATTCAGTGTTGTATTCATGGTTAGAAATGTACATGGTGGGAAGTCCAGGGATCTTCCGGATCCTTCCTTTAAGGTCCCAGTTAACTGTGGCCACAATATTAACACCTGTGCTGAGAACTATATGCATTTAAGTACCTCCACTTCTTTCGATGGCTTGACAGCTTTCTTTTTATTTGTGAATAATTTCCATTGCATAGATGTACAGTCTGTTTATCATTCATCTACTGAAGGACATCCTGGCTGCTTCTGAGTTTTGGCAATTATGAATCATGCTGCTATCAACATCCGTGTGCAGGTTCTTGTGTGGACATCCGTTTTCAACTCCTTTGGGGAAATACCTGGGAGCATGACTGTGGGATTGTGTGGTAAGAATATGTTTAGCTTTGCGGGAAACTGTCAAACCCTCTTCTGAAGTGGCCATGCCATTTTGTGTCCCCACCAGCAACGAATGAGAGTTCCCGTTGCTCCACGTCCTCGTCAGAATTTATTAGCATTGTCAGTGTTTTGGATTTTAGCCGTTCTAATAAGGTACATAGTGGTATCGCACTGTTTTAATCTGCATGCCCCTAAGAACACATGATCATTCTATCATTTCTTCTGAAAATTGTGTTTAAAATATTCTAAACCTTCTCATTCTACCCTCCAGGTTATTAACTTTGTTTTAATATTTTCTACTCCTTTATGCCTCTGTCCTACAGTTAGATGCTTCCCACAGTTCTATTTTCTAGCTCATTTATTCTTTCATTAATAGTATTTAGCCTTCTGCTTTCGTTTAATCTATTTTAATTGTGATATTCATCTGGCCATCTTAAAGTCCTGCCTGTTCTTTTTATCATAATGTCTCATTCTTCTGTTATGAGTCTTAAAAAACTTTTCTACATTTAATAATTTCAAACCCACCATCTTTCAGATTATTCTGTGCCCTGCCTCCTCCCCACCACCTTGGTTCTTGGGATTCACATTCGTCTGCTTGCTGTGTGCGCTGGCTCTCATGGTGGATTTCTTCCTTTTGATGTGTGTAACTTTTGAGGATGAGCTCATCTTCAGCAGGGTTGCTCTCCCTCTAAACCCCAATGGGGCCCCCAAGCACACTGGGCTATAGAAATGTTCCTCTAGCGGGGTTCTGAGTTTGCTTCTGCCATGGTTCCAGAGGCTTCCAACATGCCAGTTTTTGTATGAGAAAAACGTGGCTGTCACTGCCACACCATGTAGGTGGTATACACTTGGACCTCCATAGTCCTATAGGTTTTACTGTCTCACTCGGAGCTTCAAGCAGATGGCAAGACTTCTTGTACTTTCTTCGCATTGATGGACAGTTTTTTCTAATCTTTTCACAGATGCGCTGATTCACTGGGGATCTCAGATTCATGCAGTGGTATCATTTTCTACTCTCTGCACAGTTCAGGGCCCCCATGTGGATGCGAAAGCCTCGGTCTCCACCCCTAGGCCCTACATCCCCTTAGGCTGCTGTGCTTCCACAGAGAGGTGCCGTGAGAATATCCCCTTCCCGTCCTTTTCCAGCACCTAGGGCTTCCCTGTTCTTTTGATCTTCGTCGTGCTTTGTGTGAGCATGTGGGTGCGTATGCACATGTGCATACGTATGTGCGAATGTTCATGCATGTGTGAGCAAGTACGTGCGTGAGTTTGCGCGTGAGTGTACGTGAGCATGCGTGTGCATGTATTTCTAATCCTGCACCGTGATGTGTTTGCAGCATGAAAGGGGCTCCTGTCAATTGAGTCTCCCTTCGTACCACAACCACATAGACGTTTATAACTTTTGTTATCGTGGCTAAAAAATATCACATTTATGGGAGGAAAAAATAGGAAACCCAGCCTTTCGTAAATTCATCACCCACAAGGAACGGTGTGGTTAATCAGTGGTGCAGGCACAGGTATGGGAAGGGATATCTTGGTCTCAGTTCCTTTCCTTCCAATAGCCTGCAGGGCTACTACGCGGTCACACTTGTCCTGGGGGCCTCTGTAATAATCACCTCATCGTGCAGCCAACAGCCCCAGCTGCTGATCCAAATGCTCCTGCCTGCCATGTGCCTCATGTACATCACTGCTTCCTCTTCTCAGAAACGCTGATACCTTCCCTTCAAAACCCCAGCATGCTGTTGACTTCCCTCTCCCTTTGGAGCGTGCGAGGCCACAGAAGTGGCTCTCCGTGCCACGTTCTGTTCCCCTTGGTGTCGTCCCAAACACAGCCGGGTCTGTAAGCCTAGAACAGCGTCAGTCTTGGTAGAAGAAACACATTAGATTCCTTTCATGATGCAAATATAAAGATCTTCCCTTCGCCTTCTGACCTAACACCTTTGAGTAAGTCGATTCGGTAAACCAGACCTGTGTCACGCAAGGACAGCAAACACACATTCCTCGATCCCAGTTATAGCCTCTCTGCTGCAATCATGTTGCACTTATTCATTTCCTGCCTCGTGGCCTTCTACTGGTGCACTGAACTGTAGTTCAAATACTTTCTTATTTCGTTTTTAATTTACTAAGTATATTGTAATCTCCTTGGGGGCGATCAGGGACCGTGTTTTATGATTTTGATATTTCTCATGGCCGGCAGCACACAGCAAGCACTGAATCCATATTTTCTGTTTCTATTTCTTTCCTTGCATCCTCGGGCTTAAATTAGGCAGCAATGCAAACGTGTTCAGATCTGCTGGGTGAGTTTTTC